CACCCACAAGCGACAAAAAGGTGGTTGATAGTCGCTACACTCTATTTACCCCATTTCATGTATTTTATTTAGGGCTGAAACAATTAATCGGAATAACCAATTATTGAAGTAATGTCAAAAAAATTTAGTAATCAATTAATCGTTAACTGGAGTATAGAGACTCCAGTCATCCAGGTCATAGTCATTCCGTAAAAGTTCAAAAAATATCCACAATCCAATTCAAATTTGAATTGAGAAAGCTTCCTGGAGAGGTGGCGAAACGTCTTCAAATCTTGGAAACCAAGTCCAGTGGATATTTTTTTTTTTTTTTTAACTTTTACGGAGAGACTCTAAAACATGTCTTTAGCTCACAGAGCGACCCACTATTATTATACCATTAAATTATAGAAATTATACCAAAATTGTAAAAAAATAAATACAAATTTTGAATTTTAGACAAAACATGTTTTCGTCTGTCAATATTCTAAATTATAAACATGTTATTCACATGTAATTATTGGTAGGGACAAGTAGGTCGGTCCAAAATTTTGGTAGGGACATGTCCCTATGGTCCCTATGCAAACCTACGCCCATGGTTTTTTTGCTGAGTTAAAGTTTCTAGATTATTAAATAAGAACTTTGACAGGTTATCCTCAGTCATAACATTAGAAACGTGGTTCTGTTTCTCACTGATAAGAGCTGACTCTTTTCAGGGTTCATTCTGGGAATTCTTCTTAGCCGCAGAGTGCCAGAAGGGCGCCCCCTGCTGTTCTTCTTCAGCTTCAGCGCTGTCCTGCTGCTCAGCGCTCTGATGCTGCACGCCGGCCTGCAGCAGCTCAGCATCGACCTCTCCTGGTGAGCATCTCAGCAGATCTAAGCTTCCATCACAGGCGTCTCATCTCATTGGGTCCGCCGGTGTTTCTTTTCTTTTTAAAGGTCTATAGCTTTGGCTAAGAAATGGTGCAGCCACGCCGAGTGGATCCGTTTGGACACAGCCCCGTTCTCCTCCCTGACCCGGGACTGCGGGGCCATTCTTGGTCTGGGGCTGTCCCTGTACTGGAAGCCCAGTGGATGGTCCCTGCCGTGGGCTCCCAGAGCCCTGTCCCTGGCTCTTTCATCCATGGCTCTCTACCACGTAAACCGCCTGCCGCTCCCAGTCAATCCGCAGGGCCTCTTCTACAGCCTGGTCTTTGTTAAGTTTGCCCTGGTGCCTCAGATCGTCATGGTGCTGGTTCCTGGTCTGGTCCACGTTTTCACACCCAAAAAGAAAAAGGACTAGAAGTGAACTCCTTCAAATAAGTTCATTCCCAAAGAAACAGCGCTTTCCTACTTTAAATTTATGATTTATTTCAGAGACTGTCGTCGGGTGGCGGCTTTATTCAGAAAACAAAACTTGATTTTCAGACTTTTTCATTAGTAATTTGATTAAATATCTTTATTTCCAGCCTGTATTGTAATATTTTTATTTTTTTATGTTGACCACCCCTATCCTTTATCTAATTGTGAATTTTTTTGCTTTTCAAATGTGCAGTAAATGTGCTGCTGCTGTTAAGTGTTACATGTGGTTTTATTTTTGCAGAACTGTTTAACTGCACCAGGCTCAGGCTGGTAGCAGCTTTTTAAACATTAACATTGTAGGTTAAAATAAGTGGAAAAGCAACAATTATTCCTCCCGTTGCTGCATTTACTCACAGTATTGGTGATTACGGTTACACTTATTAATCATTTAATAACTTTAGTTGTTTACTTTATTGTTTCAACAGATTTCTGGAGCTTTGATCACTTTTTATTAATCTGTTCCCTTGATTAGAAATATTTCTGATATGTGCAGCCTTGTTTCCCAGCTCCAGAAGTGGGCAACAACAGGTGGGGGTGGGGCTACTTACTTTTTCTGGTATCTGAATAAAATTTTAAACTATAGGAAATGTTCTGATAGTTTTAGAGCTTTAAAACTGTTGCTTTAAGCCGGTTTATGCCTATATGGCTACTAAAGATTGTTTGAAATCTGTTGTTTTAACTTAAAGGCACCTTTTATGCTCATCACAGATGTGGCAATTATTTTTATACAGGTCCTGTCGGAAAGTATGATATTGAATATCATTGTGATTTTTCATTGTGCTGTTTTACTTTGCAGACAAAAAAAGGAAATAAATATAAATGCAGAATTCATCTTGTCTTGTAAAAGTATTTTTTAATCAAATACTGATTTTTTTTTTTTGAAGACTTTTAGGTATTTTAGAATCAAGTAAGGATGAAAAAAAGAGAAAAAAAAAGGAAAAAGAGAAAAAAAGGGAGAAAAAAATGAGAAAAAAGGAAAAAAAGAAAAAAGGGGAAAAAAAAGGAGAAAAAAAAAAAAAGAATCAAGTAAGGATATAAGAAGAATTGTGATTTTTCATTGTGCTGTTTTACTTTGCAGACAAAAAAGGAAATAAATATAAATGCAGAATTCATCTTGTCTTGTAAAAGTATTTCTTAATGAAATACTGATTTTTTAAAAGACTTTTAGGTATTTTAGAATCAAGTAAGGATGAAAAAAAAGAGAAAAAAAAAAGGGGGAAAAAAAGGGAAAAAAAGGAGAAAAAAATGGAAAAAAAAAGAAAAAAAAGGAAAAAAAGAAAAAAAAAGGGGGAAAAAAAGAAAAAAAAAGGGGGGGGGGAAGGAGAAAAAAAAGAAAAAAGAAAAAAAGGAAAAAAAAGGAAAAAAAGAAAAAAAGGGGAAAAAAGGAAAAAAAAGAAAGAAAAAAAAAAGAATCAAGTAAGGATATAAGAAGGTATTTTTTTCAGTCAAGTTCCTACATTTTCATCCAGTATTAGATGCAATTCAATCCATTAAGTCTTCAGACTCCTTTCGTGAGGAAAGATGCATATTTATCTTTCAGCAAACATATTTTGGATTGATGGAATAAGACGGACATCTGAAATCTCAAAGCTCATCTGTATTTTTACAGAAAACAAATGTTTGTTTTTTCCTTTCTCCTTATCAGACCCATTCTGGTTAATGCAGATTCAGGATTAAACTCACAATCATCCATTGTTCACATCTGCTCCTCTTTAGCCCACAGTTTCCTTTTCTTAGAAAAGATGTTCATTAAGTTTTCATTTTGATTTGTTTTTAAACTGTCACAAAGACTGGCTCCCATTTCTAAACATTTATCCATAATCTTTATTTTTTATGTCTTTTTCTTTATCCTGACAGCTCATTTGGACGCGTTTCTTGAAATAACATTTTAAAGAGGATTTTCCTCTACCTGATGTAAAGAAAAGATATTTGCCTAATAAAGAAAATGGCATTTAAATGATTTTATGGTATGTGTTGTCGGAAAATTTGGATCTTTCTTCTATTATATATTAATATTCATA